AGTCTGTGGAACCGGGGTTGGGGGGGGGGGAGTGAAATGGACATTAACCCCTTGGTGTCTCCCACCCCTCCACAGAAGGCAGTGGGTGGGAAGAAGGACCGTTCCTTCTTCCTCTTCACGGACCTGCTGGTGTGCACCACGTTGAAGCGCAAGTCGGGCTCCCTCCGCCGCAGCTCCATGAGCCTGTGAGTACCCACCAACACCCACGGCACTGAGGGCTGTCCCCACCAGCTGGGCAGGCTTTTAGGGGTTGCTGGAGACATGGGTAGAGCTCAGCCATCCCTCCCCCTCCCACCCAACCTCGCAGGTACACGGCGGCCAGTGTGATCGACACCGCCAGCAAGTACAAGCTGCTCTGGAAGCTGCCGCTGGAGGATGTGGACATTGTCAAAGGTCTGTCACTGTCCTGCTGGAGTGTCCCACGCCACCCCGAACCCCGTCCCTCACCCGGGGAGGAAGGGGTTAATGCCATGAGCATGTCCCCACGCAGGTGCCTCGCAAGCCACCAACCGGGAGAGCATCCAGAAGAGCATCTGCCGCCTGGATGAAGACCTCAGCACCTTGGGGCAAGTCAGCAAGCTGTCAGAGACCCTCAACTTCCCCCATCAGGTATGGCCTTGTGTGGTGTTCTCTGGCTGGGGACACATTCCCCATGGGGATGTTCTCAGTGGGAGAGAGAACCTGTGGATGGGCTGGTGGTTATTAATGTCCTCTAAGGGCCCAGATGCCACCAGTCTCAAAGCCACAGTGGGGCTGGGGCAGCTTCTGAAGGATGCTCAGGGGTGGATGGGAGTGACGTCATGTGATGGCTCTGGTGCTGGGACACCTTCCCCATAGGACCACCTGGGATGTCTTCTGTGGGGCTGAGAAGCTATGAAAGGACTAGTGGCCATGAGTGTCCTCCAAGGACCCAGAAGCCACCAGCCCCCAAAGCAATCATGGCATTGGGGCAGCCTCTGAAGGATGCTCAAGGGAAGGATGGGGGCATCATCACACACGTGGCCGGTGGTGGCCCATCCCCAAGAGCTGAAATCCTGTCACTGTCCCCAGACTCTGGATGATGTGATCAAAGACCTGATGGCTGCCATTCACCGGGAGCTGGCGGAGAAGCAGTCCCTGTCCTTCAGCATGGCCTTCCCCCCCAACAAGATGGAGCTCAGCACCACCAAAGCTGACGGCACCGAGTCCTTCATCTTTGAGTTCCCCAACCCTGACGCCCGGCTCGGCTTTGAGCAAGCCTTTGAGGATGCCAAGAAGAAGCTGGGTAACACCATGGACTGGGGAGGTGGACAGGGTGGTGGGCTTGGCATAGAATCATAGAATCATGGTTTGGGTTGGAAGGGACATCCAACGTCAACTAGTTCCAACCCATCTGCATGGGCAGGGACACCTTCCACCAGACCAGGTTGCTCAAGGTCTTTTCCAACCTGGTCTTGAAGACTTCCAGGGATGGGGCACCCACAGCTTCTCTGGGCAGCCTGTTCCATCAAGGCCCCTGCTCTAGTAGACCCTTTTTCTCCATCAACTTCCTTCATCTTCCAATTCACTTTTCCCAGCCTCCAGCAAAAACTGCCTGGACCCGGAGTTACTCAAGGCCATCCCCATCATGAAGACACGGAGTGGCATGCAGGTACTTCGTGGTGGGCTTCAAGCACCCCATGGGAGCTGAGATCCTCTCCATCCTGGTGCCCTTGCTGCCGGATGCCCTTGAGCTCCTCGTACCATTCCCGAACGACCCGATTCATTCCATCTTTTTGCTTCCCTTGCAGTTTTCTTGTGCTTCCCCCAGTCACGGCAGCCCGGAAGGTTCTCACGAAGTTTGGGTTTGCAACAGCGACGGGTACGTGGGGCAGGTTTGCCTGCTGAGCATCCGGAAGGAGCCCACGGTGGAGGCCTGCATCGCCGTCTGCTCTGCCAGGATCCTCTGCATCGCTTCCGTGCCCGGCCTCAAGCGGCCCTACAGGTAGGACCTGCATCCCCACCGACCCGTCGTGGAGCTGGGTGGGCACGGGGTGATGCTGGAGCTGCTTGTTTTCCCCCCCCATCCTTCTCTTTCCTCCCCGTGGTGGTGGCAGGGAGCGTGTGGAGGCGGTGGGCAGCCCGGCCTCGGAGGCGGCGCCGGCGGAGGACACGGGGCCTCAGCCCTGCCTGCACATCTCCATCTCGGGATCCTCCCTGGAGCTCTCGGAGCCCGTCGATGGTGGCAACAGGGAGTTGGTGCCCTTTGATAGCGACGACACGGATGACGAGTCCTCGCCCAGCCCCTCGGGGACGCTGCAGAGCCAAGCCAGCCACTCCACCATCTCCTCCAGCTTTGGCAGTGAGTGTGTCCCCCTCCCCTGGGCCCTGCTTAGCAGAAAAATAAACCACTTTTTTGCCCCTAATCATAGAATGCCAGGGTGGAAGGGCCCTCAAAGGCCTTGAAGTCACAGACTGGTTTGAGTTGGAAGTGACCTCAGAGGTCATCTAGTTCCAACGCCTCTGCCATGGGCAGGGACACCTCCCACCAGCCCAGGTTGCTCCAAGCCCCATCCAATCTGCCCTTCAACACTTCCACATTCACAGCCTCCCTGGGCAGCCTGTTCATTATCAGGTCCAACCTTTCTAGGTAGGGAAATGGTTTAGATGAGATGGCCCAGCAACCTTGTCAAGCTGAGGCTTAAAATTGTCCCGTGTTAGGGAACACACCAGCTCCCTGGGGAGCTTATTCCAATGTCTTAACTATTCTCATAGGGAAAAAATTTTCTTCTGATGTCCAATTGGGATGTCCCCAGGAGTAACTTGCATCCATCACCCCTCATCTTTTCCATGCAACTCCTTGTAAAAAGGAAGTCTCCATCTTCTTGGCAGCCACCCTAGAAGTACATGGATTCATAGAATAATGGGCTGCTCCATCGATTTGGCTGCTCTTCCTTATATCCCTTGGGGAAACCTGCAAGTGGAGGTTTTTGAGCCAAGGAAACCCCAGGAGAGGAGATGTTGGAGGGGGTATCAGCCCAACACGGCGGTGCTGGGATGGGGCTGGTGGCTTTGGGTAAAACCCGATGGGTCTGTGGTCACTTCCCCATCAACTTTGATGGGCGTTGGGCGGGCCTGGTCTAACCCGTTCCTTCCCCTTCTTCTTCTTCCCCACAGATGAAGAGATCCCGAGCTGCAAGGAGGCAACGGTGGAGATGACGAGCTCGGAGGAAGAGCAAGAACCTGGTTTCATGCCCATCCCTGGCACCTACGGCCAAAGCCGGCACGGCGAGAGCCCCACGGACGGGCGAGCCCTGCGCCGCTCCAGCCGCGGCTCCTTCACCCGGGGCAGCCTCGAGGACCTCCTCAGCCTGGACCCTGAAGCCCACCAGAGCTCCATGTGGTTGGGCACCGAGGATGGCTGGTACGTCCCCAGGATCTGAGGAGGGACTTGCCCAGAGGAGATGTGGCTGCCCCATCCCTGGCAGTGTTGAAGGGCAGGTTGGATGGGGCTTGGAGCAGCCTGGGCTGCTGGGAGGTGTCCCTGCCCATGCAGGGGGGGTTGGATGTAGATGATCTTGAAGGTCTCTACCAACTCAAGCCATTCAATAATTCTGTGATCCAGGGGAGATACACATGGGGTGGCTGCCAATCCCAGGTGGTTCTCAAGCTTTGCTCTTCCCCCTCAGCATCCACGTGTACCAGTCCTCAGACAACATCCGGAACAGGAAGAACAGCATGAAGATGCAACACGCCGCTGCCGTCATGTGCATCCTGTAAGCAGGGAAGGGTTTTTGGCTCTGGAGTGTCCGCAGTGAGGGGGTTTGGGGTGGCTGAGTAGGGCTCTGTGACCGGTTGTCCAAGGGTTTTTCTCCTGGCAGGTACCTGGATAACCAGGTTTTCGTGTCGTTGGCCAACGGGGAGCTCGTTGTGTACCAGCGAGAGGCAGGTGAGGCCAGAGCAGGGGCATCAAGAGGTGCTTTGGGGGTGTTGGGTGGGTGGCCCCAGGGAGGGATACTTGGTGTGTTGGTGGGTTTCCTGCTCCTTGACTTTTGGAGCCAGGCCAAAGTGTGCATCCTTCTCCTGGTCCCTGCCCACCACTCCAGGCCTTCCCTGGAGATGTCAGCTCACGTCCCATCTAACACAAGGACCTATAGATGGGTGTCTTCAGCCACTGGGTCAAGATGGATTTTTTGGGGGGGATGCCCTAACTACCCATCCCTTTCCCACCACCCTCACAGGCCGCTTCTGGGACCCCCAGAACTCCAAGTCCCTGTCCCTGGGCTCACCAGGGAACCCCATCACCAAGATGGTGGCGGTGGCGGGGAAGCTCTGGTGCGGCTGCCAAAACCGGGTCATCGTCCTCAACACGGCCACGTTGGCGCAGGAGGTACCGCGGGGCGAGGATGGGGAGGTCAGGAGGAGGGGGATTGCTGGTGAGCACCCGTGGCATCTCTGTGGCTTTTGTCACCTGCAGCACACGCTCCAGGTGGGACAGGACAGCGGGCGCAGCGTCACCTGCATGGTGAGCACGGGGACGGGCGTGTGGGTCGCGCTGCAGAGCAGCGCCCAGGTCCGGCTCTACCACGCCAGCAGCTACGAGCAGTTGGCTGAAGCAGACATCACCCCTCCCGTGCACAAGATGCTGGCTGGTGAGTCCCCCCCACCCCTGGCAGGAGGACCATGGGCACTGGCAGCCCAGAACCCACCTGTGTCCTGGGCTGTGTCACCAGCAGCGTGAGCAGCAGGGCCAGGGAGGGGATTGTCCCCTCTGCTCTGCTCTGCTGAGACCCCCCTGCAGGGCTGGGAACAGCTCTGGGGTCCCCAGCACAGGAAGGACACGGAGCTGTTGGAGAGAGGCCAGAGGAGGCCCTGGAGATGCTGGGAGGGCTGGAGCAGCTCTGGAGCCAGGCTGGGAGAGTTGGGGTGTTGAGCCTGGAGAAGAGAAGGCTCCAGGGAGACCTGAGAGCAGCTTCCAGTGCCTGAAGGGGCTCCAGGAAAGCTGGGGAGGGGCTTGGGACAAGGGCAGGGAGGGATGGGAGCAGGGGGAAGGGTTTCCAGCTGGCAGAGGGAGCTGGAGCTGAGATGGGAGGGAGAAATTCTGTGCTGTGAGGGTGGGGAGAGCCTGTCACAGGTTGCCCAGAGAAGCTGTGGCTGCCCCATCCCTGGCAGTGTTGAAGGGCAGGTTGGATGGGGCTTGGAGCAGCCTGGGCTGCTGGGAGGTGTCCCTGCCCATGCAGGGGGGTTGGAACTGGATGATCTTGAAGGTCCCTTCCAACCCAAACCAGTCTGGGCTTCTGTGACTCTGGTGGGTGCCCATCACTGCCCCCAGCTCATGGGGTTTGTCCTCAGTGTTGTGCAGCATAATCCCACAGGGTATTAGGGCAGGTGGATAATCCTGTGCAGAATTCCAGCATCCCCAGGGCACCAGTGTAATCCCAGAGGATAACAGCGAATCCTCTGGATGGCTTGATGATCCCTGCAAGAACAGGGCAGCTCTTGGGTCTCTGAGTAAACCCATGAAGACACTGGGCAGCACCTGGACATCAGCAGAATCCCACAGGGTGATAGGGCAGCCCCTGGGTGGCTGCATAATCCCATGTGGGAATACCCATGTGGGAATAGGGCATGTCCTGGGCATCTGCATAATCCCATGTGGGAATAGGGCATGTCCTGGGCATCTGCATAATCCCATGTGGGAATAGGGCATGTCCTGGGCATCTGCATAATCCCATGTGGGAATAGGGCATGTCCTGGGCATCTGCATAACCCCATGTGGGAATAGGGCATGTCCTGGGCATCTGCATAATCCCACCCAGAATTCAGAAGCTGCATCTCCCCTCACCCCGGGTGCTTTACACCAGCTGTGGGAGGTTGTGGGGTCTCTCCCCTGTATCCCACATACCCCAGATTCCCCTGGGATGGAAGGCAGGGTGGAATGCTGACACTGGGGGTGCTGACATCCAGGGGTGCTGAATTTGGGGGTGCTGACATGGGGGTGCTGACACAGGGTGCTGACATGGGGGTGCTGACATTGGGGGTGCTGACATTGGGGGGTGCTGACATT